GTTTCCAGATCTTAGCTATTGTAAATAATATTCCCATGAACATAGGGGTTCATATATTCTTTCTGATCGGTGTTTTAGTATCCTTACTATATATTCCCAGTGGTGGAATTGCTGGGTCAAACAGAAGTTCCATTTTCAATTTTTTGAGGAAACTCCATACTGTTTTCCACAGTGGCTGCACCAGTCTGCATTCTCACTAGCAGTGCATGAGGGTTCCCTTTTCTCCAAATCCTTGCCAGCACTTGTTATTAGTTGATTTATTGATGGTAGCCATTCTGACAGGTGTGAGGTGATGCCTCATTGTAGTTTTAATTTGCATCTCTCTGATTAGTGACATTGAGGATTTTTTCATATGGTCATATGTCTATTGGCCATTCATATGTTGTCTTTGGAGAAGTGTCTATTCAGGACCTTTGCCCATTTTTTTAAATTGGATTGTTTGGCTTCCTGATATTGAGTTGTGTAACTTTTTAAATATATTTTGGACATTAACCCCTTATCAGATGTGTCATTGGTGAATATATTTTTGCCTTTATGGTCAATTGATATTTGATAAAGGAAGCATGAACATACAATGGAGTAAAAACTATCTCTTCAATAAAAGGTGTTGGGAAAATTAGACAGGTACATGCAAAAAAAATGAAACTAGACTACCAACGTACACCATACACAAGAATAAACTCAAATGGATAATGGACTTATATGTGAGTTGTGAAAAAAAAATCCTAAAATAAAATGTAAGCAGTAATTTCAGACATCTCGCATAGAAAAGAGAAAGGTTTTAAGCACAGAAGTGACTTTATTATATTTGCCTACTTGAATCATATTTAAATGAAGGACTGCCCACTCTAAATAAATAAATATTTAAATGACTCTGGCAGTAGTAAAAAAAAAATACAGGGGTGGAATAAAATGGGGAGTAATAGTAATGGCAGGGCAATAAATTTAAAGGTTGTAAAAGTAATTCATTTCTAAAATAATTGGCAAATATTATGGGATTAGATTTGAGTCAGACAGATAAGTTGGGGATTTATTATTATAATATTTCAATATTAAATGGCAAGGGATTGAAAATAATGGTACTTGGGTTGGAAATAAAAAGAAAAATGAAAAATATTAAGGCAGTAAGATTGGCAAGATTGGTGTTCTGTTGGATGTGATGGAGAGGTGATTTCTAGGTCTCTAACTAGGTAACTATGGCAACAGAGGTGCTACGGTCGGCTTCACAGATATTCAAACTGTGCGGTCACGTGGGGTCTTGCATGCAGAAGGACTCCCTACTAGGCTTAATGTTCTAGTGTCAGTGTCTTGAAATCCTTAGTAATTTTCAGCAAGGGTGCTTATTTTCATTCTTCACTGGAGCCATCTAATTATATTGCCAGTTCTGAGAGATACTATTTATCAAAGCATGGAATAGATGAGGAAAATGAGCTTTGTTCTCATTATGAGACAATAAGTGACAAGAACAGCTTTGACCTGTCTTTAGACTGTGTGTTCTCTGCTCAAGACCTTAAGATAGTTGCTGGAGGTTTCATAAGCCTTTGCCTCTGCTTCAATGCAAGGTATCTAGTATATGTTTGATGTGTTAAAACATTTCAGATGGAGCATTTATAATTGCTTTATAAAGCATTATAAGATGAAGATGACAGGGTAGATTCAACTAGAAACAATGTTGGGAGTCATTAGCCTAGAGACCATGGCTGATGTCTTGGAATAGATGAGATCATCCAAAGAAAGGCATGCCTTGAGTGGTTAAGAGTGATGACCTTAAATTGTCTGTGCTCTGGTCCTGACTCTGCCACTCACAAATGTACAACCATAGGCTTTTATTTAACTTTTCCAAGCTGCAGTTCCCTCAAATCAATTATGGGAATAGTAATAGTGCCTAACTCATGGGGCTACTGTGGGAGTTAAATGAGACATTCCATAGGAGATGCTTATCATAGGATTTAGCACAGAAGAAAAATCAGTGAATATTAGCTATTAGTTTTTTCTTACTATTTTTAAGCACAATATAACAAGAAGGAATACATGTCATGGGAGAACTTGAAAAGAGAAGAGTGTTTTGTGGGTTTTTGGAATTTTTTTTTGAAAAGGACAAGTAGGCCAAATTCCAGATGCCTGGATTAACTAATCAAGGAAAGGACTAGAAAGTCCTATTGAATTTATGAACAAAGAAGCAATTAATAAGCTGGAGGGGAACAGTCTCAGTGTACCAGTACTCTTTGGGCTGATTGTTTTTGATATTCAGACTTTGGACTTCATCAATTTGAAACTGAAACTATGTATATCTGATGCGATATCTTATTTCATCCTTTTCTGAATACTTCTTGGTCCATTTCCAAAAATCCCTAGTACCTAGTTTAAGAGAAACGGATGCCTTGTCTAATACTGATACTAGGGTGACTCATGGGAAAGCTAAGATAGAGCATATGACTACAGAACTCCAAGTGTTACCACTGAGAGGAAGTTCATGGACAAAATTGTATTTCACCTACTTCCTCTTGGCAAATAAGATGCAAAGCAGAGCTTCATAGAGGGTATGGCCGCTGTGGTCTTTGTTGCAGGGGCTGTGCTTAAAGTGCACCACAGAGTCTAGCACAAACCTCTACCTGGCATTAAGACCCCAGTTCTAAAAATGTAGGGCTCACAATACGACTCTGACCAATTATTCATTTAACAAACATTTACTGAGCTCCAGCTACTGGGAGATACAAAACTCACTGGGACGTGGGTTCTACAAGGAGCTTACAATAGCAGACAAAATGAGAGAAATACATTAGTAACAATCAAACTGGGTAGAACTTGAAATCTGACATGAAGGAAGTCCAAGGTGATTGTAGAATTTTGCACAGCTGGAAAGGTGCTTGGGGGCCAGGTGATAGACATCCTTAAGTGCCAGGCCAAGGAAATTTGAACTTTATTTAATTTACACTGAGGAGTTCTTCAAAGGTTTTATGGCAGAACCCGAGATATACAACTGACCCACAAGTACCATGGACATAAATCTGGGGAACAATGACGATCAAGACTGAACATGCAGACTTGGGGACTTGAGCACAGAAATGATGGTTATGATCAGACAAAAACACATGAGACCACTGAGGCAGAGAAACAGTTACAACAATACTGCATATATTTATATGTTCGGGGCTGAAATAGAAAAATAGGTGTAGTAACTGAAACAGAAAAGATAAAGTCAGAATGGTAGGAGAGAAAACCAGAAAAACATGTTATTAAAAAAGGATTTATAGAATGGGGGGAAAGAACATCACAAAATATCTTGGATAAACACTTTTATTTCCTACAGAAGTAGAAAGAGAGGTTTAGTATTAAAATTCTCACTTTTGTTTCCCACTTGTTGAAAAGTCAAGTAGCTAATAGGTGACAGAGTCTTACGTAAGTCGGCCTGGCTGACGTACAGTGAGAAAGTTCTGAGCTCAGAGGCTGCAAATTGAAATTCTAGTTCAATTCTGATGTGAAATCCCTGGGTGGCACTTGCTAAATCATTTCACTCCTATAAATCTCAAATTTTTCGTGTATTTAATGAGGGTGTTGAGCTAGGTCATTTATTCTATCATGCTCCCTTCACTTCTGATAACTTATGATTCCATGCTTTTACAATGTTAAGGTAATTTCTTGAGAGAGTGCAGAAAAGTAGATGAAAAATAATGACTAGCATAAACAAAACTAAGTCATCTTTCAATCCGAGATTGCAGGAAAGAAGATGATTAAACACATGAAGTTTGAGAAATCGCATTTAGTAGGCATAAGAAACTGAACTTGGAGACTGGTTGGATATTGGGCTGAACAGAAGTGGATGATTGAGGATGGCTGTGAGGGGGGTTTTCAATGAACCATGAACCAATTAGGCTACATTTGACATGCAACCTGCAAAACTCAACCCTCCATGGGAACTGTTAAATGAATTATCAGAGCACTTCCTCCGCTTAGCTTTTATATTCAATTTACAGAATGGGAAGCAAGAGGAAATGGGTAGATAAAGTGAGGGAAGTGGGCAGATTAATTAGTTTCCACATAAATTTGTTTACCAGCTTGCGACAAGTTAGGTTTAGGGTCCATTGGACAAAAGGTGGAGTGTTCAGAATTCTCACAGGGCAGATCCATGGCCTAGAGTTTGCCACTCCATATTCAAGTGAATTCAAACCATGATGGGCCTTCTGACAGACAACCCAGCAGCCTGATTTAGTGAACAGAGCAGTGGCTTGGAAATCAGGATACCTCAACTCTGGTCCTCACTCTGTTATTAATTAGTGGCATGAAAATGGGCAGGGGTTTTCACATGGGCATGCCTTGGTTTTCTAGCCTGTAAAAGTGACCTGAAAGAACCTACTTCATAAGTAAAATCACTCATCTTATTGACAGATTCTCAAAAGATGTTTGATAAAAGTCGAGGGTTAAATCAAATAATCTGTTCAAGCTCTTCTCAAGTTTGTTAGTATCTACTACTTGTCTTGTGAAGCTTAACAATACATATATCCTCCTTCAATGTGCTCAAAGATTTTTAAAATTATAAAATATTGTAAATTAAAGTAAGTCAAAGCAATTATAATCTTAGAACACACGGTTCAAACTACATATAAAACACTCCAGATGTTCTAATACACATCGATTCCTCCTTCCTATCCTGCTCATCACCAGTCACTGAAATATCTATCCATGTGTCACTAACTTCTGGTTTAAATAGCTTTTTCCTTTTGGATGAAGACCCAATTGTCAATCCTATGAGGGGATTTGTGATGAGCCATAACCAATTTGTCTCTGGGTCTAAAACCAATCATCTCATATGACACATCTATGAAAAACACTGGGATTTTGTTTTCTGAGATGATTTTTTTTTGCCTGCTTATTTTGATAAACAGTCTTTAGTTGTTTACTCAGCATGGTGTCAAAGAAAGTTCGTGGCAGTCTGGAATTCAACCTCTGGCCAAGGTTCCCCCTGCTGCTGCAACACGGCTCAACCAAGTGAGATGCAAAAATGCTATTCTGAAGGTCCCTTCACCTGGGTCTGCGACATACCTGCGGCAGAGAGCAGTGGTGTCTTCAGTAGCAGCTCCAGTGCAGATACTTCAAACAAAATTATGGAACGACAAAGTCAGAATTTAAAGACAACACTGTCATTATCTTTAGGAAGATTTCACATTTCTGAAGATTATGGGTTTCTTCTTCCAAATCCTCTGGTAAGCATGGAGCCTTTGATCAGGTCAGAATAAGTTTACTGAGATGCTGGTTTGTTCGTTTGTTTGTTTGATGTACTGATTAAGAGAATGCAACACAAATACCAAGTTGTTGATGTAGGAACAATGCTACAAATAATGCAATGCATACTTATCAACAAAAGAGAAGCAATAACTACTGCAGAGGAGAGTCCAATTGGAGTGGTTTAATGTCAGGGTTTTTCTTTTTGTAATAGATGGTCAGCTTAGTAAACTTATCAGAAAATCTAGTAGTTATATATAAAAGGACAAAACTTAGAGATCAGTTATATAGGCAAATCAGTTTATCTCGGTGAGCTAGTGGGACAGAAAAGAAATCATGAAGGACCTTGGGTGCTTTCGGGGCTGGTAGGAGGAACTAGATATTTACAGAAAAGTGGAAGAAACTGTTGAGAAAGAATGTACCTATTTCTTAATTCTACTTGAGGTTCAATCTACAATGTCATTTTTCGTCAGTTAACTTTTGTCAGCACTGTTTCCTATTTGAATGTGGTCTGAGGCCTGCAATGTGGTAAGTGTAAAAATTCACAGAGTGCGCCACTACTCCCTTTTACCTTTGGGCTAGCTAAAGTCCAGAGGAAGTGACTTTCCCAATGTCACATTAGTGACAAAAGCAGAACAAGTACTCAGGATTCTTGACATTCTTTTTTAAATACTGCATCATAAATAAGGGGCAAGACTATTCAGTTTAAATCTAAGCATCCAATGTTACTGTCATTGCGATAATATTATATCAAAGTTTTTCCTCCCATAAGCATAAATTGTCATTTAACTGTGATTAGAGAATGGCCTGGAATTCAATGAGCTTTTATCGAATACCTACTCTGATGCTTATTTACTTCGGAGTGTTATTAGAAAAATACAGATGAAGAGAGATAGGATCCATTCACTGGTTTTAAGAGAGTTAAAAACTCTTGCAGAGCTATTAGTTGTGAAGCCAAGTAACACACCTACAAGTAATTTGAGCATTAAAAATAATAGAAGTAATAACTTCAGTGTGTTACACAGAGTAGGATTGTAGCCCTTAGTATTGGATTATGTTCTCTGACACTGCTGCTAGGGTCATGATGACCACAGAGTCTCCGTTTATTAGGAACTGAAGAGATCCCCATGATGTGGGACTTTCATGTGAAACCACGCATCAGTCATCCTCACTTGCACTCACAGACTCATGGCTCCTTCAGTGAATCACGAGTAGTGCCTGGCCCTCCATTTTCACACCTACTCAGCGGAGATCTAGTGCCACCCCACCCACTGGATTGCTATGGAGCATGAAAGCACTTTGATAAATGGAGTGTAAGGACTAGGAAACCAGTTCTCCTGACCCTCAGTCCATTGCTTGTTAAAAACTCCATTCTGTGTATGTAATTTGACTCAGGAATATTCCCATCATCACCAGCTCACAAGGAGGAAAAGGCCCATAAGCCAAGAAGTTCTTATTGCATTAAATATGTACCCTGAGCTGAAGAAAAATTATTATACAGTATGTAAACATTGTGGAGAGCCACAGTTACTGAGTTCCCCTCTTTGCTCTTTCTTTTTCTTATAAATTAAAAAGAGAGAGAAACAGCAACAACAACAACAACAACATCAGGTTGGAATGTACTGAGGCAGAGCAGGTTCGTTCTTGGGTTCAGTTGGACATTATCTACTAGAAATTCCCACTCCTGAGGCCATAAAAAAGGGTTTATTTTACTGTAATTGCATGCCAGATTTCTAAAAAAAAATGTAGTTGTTTGTTTCAGTTTTAGTTTTCTGTCATTTGTGTGAGAAGTTTAAATACTTCCCTTTCTGGGAAAAGGTAGAATAGTAGGAATCCATCCCTGGTTACTCCACCCATCAGGAGAGGCTCTGTCCTTGATCGTCAGGCAGCAGAACTGCTGCAACTGGTCAGAAGGGAAAGTATCAGTCACTGACTTTGCTAAGAGCATGAGTGGGATTTGCTTTCCTTTAGTTTAAAGCTGGTGATGGGAGGGCTGTTCTCCATGTCAGCTGGCCCAAAGATGTTTTTTCAGCAAGCTTAGTTGTGTACTATAAATATTGACTTCAATGTCTCTTAGAAAAATAACCAAAAACCAGAATGAGCAAACTTTCTGGCTTTGGGGAGAGAGGAATGACTCAGTCTACTCCACTGTTTGTATTAGACCTCAGACATTTCCAGGGTCCAGTGTTTCAGTGTGGATGATGTATACGTCTCAAGCTCATGTCCGTATATATGCCACAAAAGTCTTTTGGAAGATCATGAGTGAGTGTGTGTGTGTGGCGGGGGGGCGGGGTTCTGGGGAGGAGTCCATTTTCTTTAGACATGAAGAATGTGAGGAAATGAACTGCAGGAAAGGAGGGACCAAGTTAATTATGGCAGGAGATTAGATTGGAGTAGAACTGAGACCTTGAAAGTTAGCCTTAGGAACTGGGCTTGCACACATGACATAATGCAACTGGCATTTGAAAAATTTCTTAGCAGAATGTTAAGTGCAGGGTGGGTTAGAGCAGTGGTTCCTGAACTGTACCCCACAATTGCTTTGGGGCAGGGCAGCTTTAGAAAATACTGATGCTACAGCCCCTCCCAGAACTGTTAATTATGAATCTCTAGCCTAAGCAGCTCAGGATTTGATAAGCATGGAATACCTAGAGGACGGTGCAGGTCCAGATGAGAAATGAGGGCTCCACTTAAAAGGCTGGGTGTGGAAATAAAGGAGCCATGGTCATAAGACACACTGAGAAGGGTCTTGGAAGTAGTGCAAGCACAAAAACAAGGGGAAGGGGGACTTTTAAACGTGCCATGGAGCAGAAGGAAAGGACTAGTGCGAATAGTCACGGGATGTGGGAAACGCTGTTCTTTACAGTCATCAAGCAACCATTTAGGAAAAATAAATACATACATACTCTCCTGTAGAAATTCAAAATGCTTAACAGAAGCAGTAGATTCCAGCTGCTTAGAAGGAAGAGTAGCAAAATAATTGCCACAGGAGGCTATAGTTTTGGATAGAAGTTATAGGTAGAAAAAATTCAGGTATTTTCCTGAAAAATTGTTATCTCTGCTAGGATCTGGAGCCTGCCTCATCACGTTGAATAGGAATCTGAGGCAATGAGGGTAGTGTAGGAGAGACAGAGACCAAGAGATCAGACTTCATATCAACTAGTGTTAAGGATGTTGGAGGGGTATGGATTTCCGTTCCAAAAACTAAGAACCAAGAAAGATTAGTAGGACCAAAGGGGAAATGGCCAGACAGGCATGAGGAGAAGAGAGAGGAGGGACAGCCAAGGTAGTTCTCTGGAAACCAGACTTATAAGCAACGAAGCAACTTAGAGTTTCCTTACTCAGGATGTTTTGAGACAACGTGGAGAGAGGTGAGCTGACAGATCCTAAGAAAGGATGAAGGCATAGGAAAATTCACACCTGCTACTCTTAGTCAAAATGAGGCTCAGGAATTATATTCGTTTCCTCCAGTTGTTGTAGGAAATTACCACAATTTGGGTGGCCTGCAACAGCAGACATTTATTTTCTCAGAGGTGTAGAGATCAGAAGTCTGAAAGGGGGCTGTCCACAGACCCATTATCCCTCCAAAGGCTGTAGGAGAGGATCCTTCCTGCCTCTTCCATCTTCTCGTGGCTCTGTGGTAGCATATGACTTCACTCTCTGCCTTCCTCTTCACATGGACTTCTCTGCGTCTATGCCTTCGCCCTCCTGTCTATGCCTTCTCTTACAGGGACACTTGTCTTTGGATGCACATTAACGCAGGTGATCTCTTGTGCTCATGAACTAAGTTACATCAGCAAAGGCCCTTTTCACAAATAAGGTTACATTTAGTTTCCAAATGGACATATTTTGGGGATGGGGGAGGTGTAGCACTCAACTGATTCCAGGGAGCCAGGTAAAAAGTAAAGAGTTAGAGGGACCTGGGCAATGCGAACAGAAATTTTGTTTTGCCCTGAGATTCCCCAAACCTGACCCTGTAGGCAAGAGAGGGTGGAAGATGATGAAGAGTCAGAGTCGATGTACAGTGATTAAGGAGGCATGTGATACACGCCATTGTCATTGACTGGTTTTGTCGTATAATGTTAACCCATGTTCACCAGTATGATGTTGATGTGCTGAAGATAATTAATATCTTATGCTGGCAAATTATAGTTTTAAGGTGAGAGGAAAGATAGAATATGAGACAGAGTGTAGGCAAAGGGGCAAGTAAGTTAGCCCACGTAAGCTCAAGTCCAGCCTTGTCTTAGTTAAGTGGGAAAGGAAAGAGTCTTCTCTCTTGTATAAACTGAAATGGATAAACTAGAACTGTGTTTCTGAGACTGTGGCCTGTGGAATGCAGAAGAGAAAAGAGGGGCAAAGACGTTCTTGAGAGTGCATAAGCACTAAGGAATTCAGTATATTTATTCTCTGATATAAAAACAAAATGTTGCAGTGATAACTTGCAACTGACAGACTCTTTTGTATGATTTTAGTTTCTTCATTTTTTTTTTCATCTGAGGTCTTTGAATCCTTGGGAAGTTATTCTCTGGGAATTATGAGCATTTTTCCTTTATGACAATTTTATATATTACTCTAGTGGAGAAAGAGTAGATAGTCAACATGACAGATTATGATTAAGAGCAAAGCCAGAGTCCATTACAGTCATGCTAGTTTCGGGTTGAATTCCAGCTAGATCTCCGATCTCTTTTAAAATTAGCAAGTGATAGTTAATCTCTTTGAACCTTATTTTTCTTTTGCGAGAATAAAATTTCATGGACATGCTTTTGATAAGGAGGTAAGAAGTAAATACAAGTTAGATATTACTAATACCTAAAAGCCCCATATAATTCTTAGACTCTGGTTATAAACTCAGGTTAATGAGTCACGTAAATTAAAAATCCACTGTATGAAATCTTGCTTCACATTTCTCTTTACTGATAATTTATTTTATTATTAATCTTTAGAAATTTGAAAACTACTGACATGGTTGGTGTGGTGGCTTACC